TAAAAATGGATTGCATATCTCATCAAACAATGTATTTTTATTTTACATGCAAAATGATTGCATCCCTACACTTTACATGTAACCACTTTACATGTAAAGTTTTAATGTGCAAAGAACCAAACGCCCCCTTAGTTCTCATAAATCACACGGCTTGCTCTATATCAAATTTTAAATATACTCTTCATCTAGTAACTAGCTGCCATGTGGTAAAAAAAGTTATCTTATAAAATCTTATAACTTTCTCATTTGTGCTCCAATTTTGGTAAAAATACATCAAATTAGATAATTTTTCACGATCTTTCATAAGACACCAGTATACATATGTAATTTAAAAAAAAAATGATCAGGTCTGTTTAAGTTGGTCGGGCTAACGGTCGATAAATGTGTATTCACTATTCTTTAAATCTAATCTATTTTGACGGGTCGGGTGAATGGACGATAAATGTGTATCTACTATTCCTTAAATCTAATCTATTTTGATTTGACCTGGTTTGTTTGAGTGTATCTAGATAGAATTCAATTCAAATAAAAAAAACATCCTAAATATAATTCAGATGTCTGCTCATAGATATAACATATATGGCCGTAATGTGGAATAAACATGGTGATGATTGAGTTTTAAAATGCGGAGCCCCCCACCTTTGAAATTAGTCAAAGAAAAAATGAAGATAATTAGACAAAGAAAATGAAGATAATTAGTTTACTTTTTTTTAGTTTTTTTTTTCCAGGGGGCGTCGGGGGAGGGGGGTTTGGGGGGCCTGGGGTAAACTGGGCTCAATCTCACTCCATTGAGAATTGAATCTGGGACCTCCCGTAAGGGAGAGTAAGTTGGCGACCAGCTAGTTTAGTCCGCTTCCTCAGATAATTAGTTTACTACTATTAAAAATGTTACTTATTCAAATATATAATCCAATCTAAAATTGTGCAAAATAAAAAAACAAAACATTTATGTTTTTATTAATACAGTATAAGCTATATATATCTATCAACCAATAGAATTCATACATATTTTCTTTTAGCATTATGACATTCTCTAAATTGTTTATTATGAGACATTAATTTATAATGATACTATCAATAATGATGTTTTTAATTGGAATAAAATTTTCAAGTCTAGTCAAATCTGGTATGATCTGATTTGATCTGTTTAGTTTTGGTTTAGTCTGAACTCATCTGGTATGTTAGATGTATGTTCCGTGTGTTATACAACTACCACAATATGGTCTGATATAATCGGTTTTCGTCTTGTCTCGTTTGGCCTGGAATTGAAAATTGTCAAAATTAAAACATCTTAAAAAGTGTCAATTATAGTTATATGATACTACCTCCGCCCCACTATGTTTGAGACAATTCGGTTTACGATGTTTGACCAATAATAAAGCAAACAGATCTCTGTCCGCACTCAAATTAATTTTAGAAAAGATAAATTACATATTCAGAAACTACATTAAAACTTTACAAAGTCGCAAAAACCAAAATCAAATTTGATAAAGAATTATTATATAAAGTAAGAGATTAAGAGTGGTTTGTGTTGACCATGTGAATAGTGTCTGAGACAATCTTAGCGGGACGGAGGGAGTAATACAATAAAAACAATATCCAATAAAAAGATGAATGAAAAAGTAGATATGATCACCCAAATATTGTCGAACAATGTATGAGATAAAGTTAATGAAACAAATCAAAAATAAAAACTCATATACAAATAATGGGCATATGAATTGAGATAAATAAATACCTTGTCAGAATGAAAGTTAATTACGGAGTAAAAATTAAGGAAATCTAACGGCTGTTTTGTTTTTTAAACTAAAATCTTAGGATTTAATTTTACGAAAGAGAACAAATTTGAAAAGCAATATTGGCTCTGTTTGCAACTGATTGTGCTTAAATAAAAGCACTTTTTGGGAAAAAGTGATTAGTAGTAAAAGTTGGTAGTGTTTGGTAAATGTGAAACAAATTTTAAGTATTTACTTAAAATTGATCGCAAATAATAATATGTGAGAATATTATCGGGTACAATCTCTAAATATGAATCCTCTGATTCTTCACTTGCAATTTGAAGTAATATAATTAAAGAATTTAATTAAAAATTAAATCTCTAATTCTTCAAATATTCGAACGTTCTTCGGGTCTTCGAATCTCCGTTCTTGAGATCTTCGAATCTTCGAACCTTCGTTCTTCGGATCTTCAAATCTTCTTGAATAAAGAATTCAGCTTGAAGGGCCTCCGGTTTTCAAGTGGCTTGATCTTCAACAAAAGGGCTGTTTTATGACTTGATCTTCTGTTTAAAGGCCTCTCGGGATATATGGCTTGATCTTCAATTGAATCTTGATTCAATCTTCATATGAATATCTTCAAACCTTCAAAGATTCGTTCTTCATATCTTCGAATCTTCAAAGCTTCGTTCTTCAGATCTTCGAATCTTCAAGCTTCGTTCTTCAGATCTTCGAACGTTCTTCAACTTTTTGCTTTGTTTGATCAAGAATAAATGAAATCACAAAGGATTAATCATATATTCTTGACAAAAAACGTGGCTTGATATCTTCCGATGCTTCGGAATCCTTCAGAGCCTTTCGGGAGTTCTTCAGAGCTTTTCTGCAGCGTTTCTTCGTCTGGAAGTCCTCTTCCTTCCTCTCAACTGAGACCCCTATTTATAGGTGTGGAGGGGGTGAAAATATGTTCTAGGGTTTAGGAAATTCGTCCATATCCCTTGGGCTTCAATTAAAATGGGCTTTGGGCTCGATTTGCTCTCATTTTAGTAGCTAGAAAAATCAGCACTTATATAATGTATCTGGACAGCCTTCTTAACAAGGTTCGCAACCATTTTCCACGCATACGGACATATTTCTTAACCGGACTCGTTGGCCTCTTTATCAATTGGATCATCCTGCTTATATGTTGAGCCACTATTTGATAACGGGCTAAAAAATTAATAGGACCGGTCCATTCTTTTAAAGATTTAATTTATAATTAAATTAATTGGATATTTTGAATGATCCAAATTAATTGAATTAATAAATTTTATCTCAAGAGATCCATGACACTATTTCCTTCTTGATAAAGCCCAACAACCATCACGTATCAGTCCACTGGAATCTAATGTTGGCCCAGTTGCACTTCAAAAAGACGTAATGATAATCTGAATCGGCCCAAAAAAAATTTATATGTCTACAAATGCCCCTCGAGACTTGCTTGAATGCCTCGGAGGAGTGAAAAGTAAGTTTCGACATACGTTGACCGAAATCACTTATTGATTTAAGACGTGGTCATCCCTTTTAGGCTTTAGGACATGTTTACTTCACCGGTTAATAAACGGTGCTTATTAAGACCCGTGTTAATAAGCGGCGCATAAAATAAACAATGTTGTAAGACCGTGTTTACTTCAAACGGTTTAAAACACCGCTTAACATTAAAATGTCCAAAATAACCATATACATATATATACACACAAACATTCATGAACACAAGTATATAATATAATATGTGTACCCATACCCCTAACCCCTTACCCACCCTACCTTACCCCGACCCCACCCACCCCTACCCCCTACCCCTACCCTACCTACCTGACCCTACCTACACGACCCTACCCCTACCCGACCCCACCCTAACTTGTCCCTACCCTACCGCAACCCTACCCCCGACCCCATAGGCCCCTACCCCCATAGGCCCTTACCACATCGACCCCACCCCCGACCCCACCTTACCCTACCTTACCCCAACCCCGCCCCTACCCCTACCCTACCCGACCCACCCCCTACCCCACCACACCTACCCTGCCCCTAGCGCCTCTATCACATCGGCCCCACCCTGACCCCACCACCCTAGGTATAGTGGGGTAAGGGGTGGGGTAAGGGGTATAGGGTGGGGTGGGGTAGGTGGGGTGATTGAGGTCAGGTAGTGGTAGGGTGGGTCGGGTAGGTAGGGTGGGGTTGGGTAGGTAGGGTAGTGGTAGGGTGGGTTCGGGTAGGTAGGGTAGTGGTAAGGTGGGTTCGGGTAGGTAGGGTGGGGGGTTGAGGCGGGGTAGGGGGTAGGGTAGGGTCGGATAGGGTAGGGTGGGGGTCGGGTATGTGGGTAAGGGTGGGGTAGGTAGGGTAGTGGTAGGGTGGGGTCGGGTAGGGGTAGGATGGGGTAGGGTAGGGTTGGGTTAGGGTAGGGGTAGGGGTAAGGTGGGGTCGGGTAGGGTAGGGTAGGTGGGGTAAGGGTAGGGGTGGGGTCAGGGTAGGGTGGGGGGTCGGTTAGGTAGGGTAGGGGTGTCTGGTAATGGGGTAGGGTAGGGGTAAGGTGGGGTACGTGTAGGGTGGGGTCGGACAGGTAAGGTAGGGGTAGGGTGGGGGTCGGGTAGTGGTAGGGGGGGTCGGGTAGGTAGGGGTAGGGTCGGGGTAGGTAAGGGTAGGGTGGGGGTCGGTTAGGTAGGGTAGGGTCGGGGTGGGGTAGGGTAGGTGGGGTGGGTTAAGGGTAGGGCGGGGTCGGGGTAGGGTGGGGTCGGGGTAGGTGGGGTTGGGGTCGAGGTGGGGCAGGGATAACAATAGGTTAAGGGCAAGGGGTAAATTCGGAAACTGAAAAAACTTAAAGTGCCGCTTAATTAATACATGAGGGGGTGGTATGCTTAATAAGCGGCACTTTAAGCACCTCTTTCGGTTAGTAAGCGGCTTTTTAAACAGTGTGCGTGTTTACTTCACCTGTCTTACTAACCTAACTGTGACTTTAGCAGTAAACGCCTCCTTAACCAAGCAGGCCCAAAGTCGGTTTAAAGTTTACTCCGTAAAATAGCTTAAAAGCACATGTTCCTTAAAAAATTTGTCTGCAGGCCAATTAATTCAATCATGGAGTACATTCAATTCCACTCACGGTCATTAAATTGGAGAATTGTAGTTGAAGTCTTACTAGCCAATCCCCTTTTCAACTAATGGTTCTAATAGCTCAAAGAGTCATGTTGTCATCTAAATAATGCAGAGTAATGGAGAGGAGTCCAAATTAATTCTGAAATTCTCACTTTACCCCATTCTGCCAAAATTACCAAAGCCCGTAAGAATAACCTGCGAAAATCATTCCAGGTATGTTTCCAAACATGAATCAAATTCTAAGTCGGTTAACTAAAAAAAAGAATTTAGTATTGGACTTCAATTCTATCGCACTAATTGGATCCCAAATCTTCGGCTTAACATCTATAAATATCAGTCGATATTTCTTTTTCCGCATATGCGAAACAGTGATTGCACGGCGACTTTCTTCTTCCCCGTCTAAGAGCTTGGCTAGAACTCAACAGGTATAATCTCTTTCTCTCTCTCTCTCTTTTTTAATTTATTCTTCCTTCTATTGTATAGCAGGACATGAACGAGATAAACATCTGCCAAATATCGATCGAAGTATTAGCCATCTGAAGAACAATGAAGGTCCTTCACCTGTTTTGCCGTAAACCATATCGATAGAGGACTGTTCTTATGCCGCCACCTATTCTAAAGAATATCACGTCTGGGATGTTGTTCACTGTATCTATTGGTGTTGATACGGAGGAAATATAGTCTGTCAGTGTTGCCATTATTTCACGCCTAAGAGAGAATAGACCATGACTCCATGAGTGTGCATCACTTCGTAAATAACAGGGCTATTGAAACCGGAAGTCGGGAAGTTTTCACTCCTGCGTGCGATCTCCTGCCGTTTCTGTTGCTGCCCAAAATTGTATCACACATGAAGACTTATTGAAATATATCTACTGCCATGAAGATTTGGAGCTTTAGAAGACCGGTTACTTTGCCGGTGAGAAGACCGGCCACTTCTTCGGTTTGAAGACCGGCTATTTCGTCGGTGTGAAGACCGGCCACTTCGTCGGTTTGAAGACCCGCTATTTTGTGGGTGTGAAGACCGGCCACTTCGTCGGTTTGAAGACCCGCTATTTTGTGGGTGTGAAGACCGGCCACTTCGTCGGTTTGAAGACCCGCTATTTTGTGGGTGGGAAGACCGGCCACTTCGTCGGTTTCAAGACCCACTATTTTTGGGTGTGAAGGCCGGCCACTTTGTCGGTGTAAAATTTCTGAGTTCCGCTGCCATTATTGAAGGAAACCGGTATTTGACGATGTGGTTAATTGAGAACTCTGTGATGTGTTCTCTACCTCAATTACTTTAAGAGAAGAAACGGGAGGGAGCAAAATCACTAATTGTTTTTTGCCTTAGTTGCTTCTGCATGTTTATTGCAAAGGAGAAATTAAGGAACATGAAGAGTACAGCCGCAGAGTAATTGCTATGTGATGGAAACCCATATTCGGATTGTGCAAATTCGGCCAGTTGAGGCTTCGTGATGGAGAAATCAGCCATATTTATTTGAGAGAGACTTTCAATTTATTCCTTAGATTTAATTCTTTTAGACAAAATCCAAAAGAAAAAAAACTCTCTCAGTCCTTTTTTTTGTTTTTTTTTTGTCTTTTTTTCCCCCTTTTTTTTGACCATTTTGCTTTTTTTTTTTATGCAGCACAAAATGGTGTTTTTAAAGGATATAAAGCATGAAGGTCAGAAACTTCTCTCCATATCAACGGGCAATACTAATGGCCATGAGATTCATCTGGAGATTTGCAAATCCTTTGCTCGTGGTATTTGCCCTGCGATTGTTGTGTCATACCGCGTTGCTAACTGGACTCCCGAGTGCGAGTATCAAGATCAAACTCTGCGAACTTTAATATATGGCTTTCCTCAAAGACCTTCTCTTAACATTCTTCCTTCTTTGGGTAGACGCATCCTTGATGAAAACATCCATCTCAAAAAACATCTATTTTTTGGTGGTGAATTTAGATTTATCACCGGTTACTGGGAATGGGCGGAAGAAGTTTTGGGCATGAGTAAAAACATCCTAATGAAGGGGCTTATTTATGATGCTGTCTATGCTTCATTGTTCACATATGACCGATGTATTAATGTTGTACAAGCATTTTGTGAGGCATGGTGTCCCGCGGTGAATACTTTACTTACATCAATTGGTGAATTGGCAATCACGCTTTGGGATTTACATGTTATTGGAGGATTACCAATAATAGGAGATGCATATGATGAATCTATCCCAAGCGCCTCTGAGATGTTGAAGGCAAATGCCGACCGCCCTTTCCAGCTTTGCAAATACTTATTTGGCGCATACCATCACCTTTTTCCAAAGACGGGAGACAAACGTTTGCTACGTGTTCATGTATGGGTCAAATTTTGGTTTAAGAAAGCCTCCAAGTATACTATGCCTCCATCGAGAACGGAAAAGAAGAGAACAACTCGTGCAAAGGCAACTCATAACCCGAGTGGAGCAATTCCAAAATTTGGTGGATGGACAAATTCTATGAAGGTGCCGTTCCAAATACTCAAGGTTCCTGCCGAATATGAGGAAGAGATCTACTTAGCAGCATTCCTATCATGTTGGCTATGTGCATTTGTGTTGCCACATGAAGGTCCAAGGGTCATACGTCCAGAAAATTTTAAAGTTGCTTGTATGATGGCTTGCGGGAGGAAAATATGTCTTGCTGTTCCAGTTCTTGCCAGTATCTATCATGGACTTAATCAAATCTCAAATGCTCCGTCTCCTGACCAAGTTAGAACGTGCTTTCCTGTTCACTATGTTTATGGATGGTTGGCCTCATACTTTGACACTCATTTTAAGAATGATATTCAGTCCAAGACCCCATTGATGGTCTCTTATTCGGGAGAGGGCGGAGCAAGGTCCCTTGATAAAAGAGGAGCGCGTAGGAGAATCTTCCAGGGAGATGTGTCTTCATGGATGTCACGCCCCGGACCTACCGGACACGTCAACAACCCGCCGTACAGTACGAATAGTCAACCGCAGTCCAACTCATCCATACTATACTAGGCGTCTTGAATACCATTCACACATAGTACATCCATAAACAAACATAATGTAAAATATTCATTTAAAGCAGCGGAAACATTCAATAAAGTGTTTATGCCACACTTTGGCAAACATGGGCATACAAGCCCCCAAATAATTATTCAAAAATAATATCCATGAGCATTATTTAAAATGTTTTCAAAACAGGAACGAAAGAAGCACGAACCACGTCTCCCTCCTTTGATCTCTCCGAAGCAACGGGCGGTAGTAGCAACCTTCAAGTCCTACCTGAAACTGTGAGGTGGCCTCCCCCGTGAAGGGGAGGTCAGTACTTGGAAGCATTTGACAAGTACAATGACAACTATACTAAGTATAATCAACGTTTTAATTTCTGAAACCCCCAAAATAGGGTGATATCATAATATAAATAATATTTTATATTTCCCACTTATTATCTCTATAATAAGTAAATTCATTTATTTGTCGGCACACGACCCATCTTATATATCCCTTTTCGGTTATCATTTGCACAACCCAACCCGTGGGTCTTATTATTTCTACGGGATTTGCTACCGCTGTCCGAGACCTCATGAGGCTCCCGGTTCGGACTTCAACATCCCGCCCCTGGACTCATACCCATCATCCCGTAGGAAGGTAAGGCCCTTCGGGGTCCTATCTTATGTGTTACCGCTACCGGAGCCTAGTTAGGTCTCCGATTCGGATTCCACCATAACCCGTGATCACGACGTAAGTCCATGCTATCCAACCCCGCTCTCTAGAGTCGGGAAGGGCCATGGTCCTTACTTATTCCCATAACTCAATCGGCTATCCTCAAGGACTACCGAACACACCCGTAGGTCAATCCTATGTCTAGGATCAATTCATTATTTACTTTATCTTGGGTATTCCTTAAGGCCTACCCCTAGTATAACTTAAAGTTCATACTTTCCTACCTTAAAGCATCTCTTAAGACCACTTAAGGCATAATATTTCACAATCCAACCTTAGGATCAACTTTAGCAACATTCCACTATAATGCCCAACTAGTATATTAATACTAGTCAAGTAAATTCTAACCAAACCAATTTCTCCATTCATGGTCATTTACAATTGCCCAACTGATTTTAATTTCCATTGAAAATATCATCTTTATATCAATATACAAAATATCACTTTTAATCATTCGTACATTCTTATATGAAGTAAAAAGTATATTTCAACATAATTTCGTGGTTAATCTCATTATCAAATCAACATACACATAACACATGATCATACATAATTTATTCTTAAATTTGTATATCAACCTCCTTTTCCCTATAGACAGCAGTCTCCTCATTTTTGGTAATGTGTTTGATAAGGTCAAAAAATGGGAGACTAAAGCTGAAGAGGCTGAAAGTAGATTTGAAGAACAACCTGATGAGAATAATAGATCCAGTTGGCATGAAGCCCAAGCCCAACTGATTCTAGCCTACAAGCAGGAAAAACAGTTCTGGAAGCAGAAGGCTAGAATAAAGTGGCTAAAAGGAGGAGATAACAACACTAAAATTTTCCATAGCTTTGTAAAAGGGAGGCAAAAAAGAAATCATATTTCTGCAATTCAAAAGGAAGATGGTACCTGGATATCTGGCACAGAGCATATTGGGCAGGCAGCAGCTCAATACTATGAAGGAGTATTCTCTAACCCCGATAGCCTGAATATTACACCTGAGTTAGATGAAGTGCTTCATTATATTCCTCAGCTTATTACTCAGGAGGAAAATATGATGTTAACAACAATTCCTTTGGAAGGGGAAGTCAAAGAAGCAGTCTGGAGCTTAAATCACCTCAGCGCAGCAGGCCCTGATGGCTTTAATGGCAAATTTTTTAGAAGTTGTTGGGAGATTGTGAAAGCTGATGTTACATCTGCCGTGCAAGACTTCTTTCTTTGCACTCCTATTCCTAAAGCCATGGGCAGCACTACCATTACCCTTATTCCTAAAGTGGATAGGCCCAAGAACTTCGCTGAATTTAGGCCCATCTGCCTATCCACTTTCATAAGCAAAGTATGTACTAGAGTTCTAACTACTAGGCTCAGCTCTATCCTACCCAAAATCATATCCAAGGAACAGGTTGGCTTCCTTCAGAATAGAGATATTGGGGGACATATTTTATTGGCTCAAGAGTTGATGCATATGATTGATAAAAAGGTAAGAGGTAGCAATGTAGCTATTAAATTAGACATGGCCAAAGCCTTTGATAAAGTTTCTTGGTCATTTCTTAAAGATGTTCTTGGTAGATTTGGCTTCTCAGATCATTTTATCAATATTATCATGAACAACCTTAAAGCTACTTACATGTCTGTCATGGTGAATGGGACAACGCATGGCTTTTTTAAGCCTATTAGGGGTGTAAAACAGGGGGATCCACTATCTCCTTACCTTTTTATCATTGCATCTTAAGTGTTCTCAAGGGGTTTGAATCAATTAATTCATCAAGGAAGAATCTCACCTTATTTGGTCAGTAGGAATGCTCCAGTTATCTCACATCTTGGGTATGCTGATGACCTCCTTTTATTCCTCAATGGTAGTGCTAGATCTCTGCAGAACTTTAAACACTTTCTCTCTGTCTATCAGCTTGCTTCTGGGCAGACCGTCAATTACAATAAAAGTCAGTTTATTGTGGGAAAGCATTTTCCTGAAAACAGAATTGATCATGTAAAGGAACTACTGCCTATGGAGGTCACTAAGCTTCCTATCAAGTACTTGGGGGTTCATTTACATCAGGGGACTAACAGGCTCAAGTACTGTACAGATTTAATCTCTTCTTTTGATAAGAAGTTATCAAATTGGAGGAAAAAGATACTGTCACAAAGTGGAAGGTTGATCCTCATTAAACATGTTCTAACATCTATCCCCTTACACACAATGGCAGTTTCTAAACTTCCACAAAGTGTAATTAGGATTTTGGAGAGGAAATTAGCATCATTTTTCTGGGGAGCAAAAAATGGTATTCATAAATTTCATTGGCTGAGTTGGAGGAAGCTTTGTTTCCCCTTTGAAGAAGGAGGACTTGGGGTCAGATCACTGGAAGACATTCAATCTGCTTTCTCACTTAAAATTTGGTGGAACTGGTTTAATAATAATACTCTTTGGGCAAACTTTATGCATGCAAGATATCCAAGAGGAGACAATATGATTGCCAAACTACCTGACTCTCCAATCTGGAAGCGCATTTGTCAAACTCATGTACAAGGACTTGACATGACAGAAGTGGTGGATGGCCATAATGTCTGGACTCCCTCCCATGATGGTAGCTTCTCTTTGTCTTCTGCATTTGAAATTGTAAGAAGTACTCAGTCAGCTACATTCTCACACAAACATATATGGCATCCTAAACAATTCCCTCCTATCAAGCTATTCATGTGGAAGCTCTTTAATAACATTCTACCTCTTCCTGAAAATCTTAGCAAATTCAATATTTGTGTTCTTCCTACACAATGTCCTTTTTGCAGGAGAGACAATATCACTACCTTCCATATATTCTATCTTTGCCCCTTTATTAATCCTATTTGGGAATACTTTATGGGCCTCTTTATGATACCTATACCTAATAAGAGGGTCTCCCATAGGCAAATTTGCTTTGCATGGTGGTTGGAAGCTGGTAATAAAACTATTATGGATGTTTGTAAACACAACATTCCAGGAATAATCTTGTGGCATATCTGGAAAGCTTATGCTTCATTTTCATGGGACACTCCCTCTTCTGAATTTAATCCAGGAACCCTTATGAAACATATTAAGGACTATATATACCTATGGGCCTCAGGTATGAGATATCCTAAAGGTAGTACAACTCCCAACTATATTATACA